TTGCACGTTTCCCGTACTACCTCTTCGAGGGATCTTGCACTTTTCCTTTTACTGCCACCCATGGGACCTCCAATAATTTAGCTTCGCGGTAGGAAATTTATGGCATCAGCTTCTTTTAGCTTTTGGTGTTCCAAGATGGAACGATGTTTGGCTTGATTCTTCTTCTAGCTTGTTTCCAAGCGGATGAAGTGGAGATTCATGTAGCGGTGATCGTTAAGTGTTTCGCGCGCGAGAACCTGCCAATCCAGGACATTCTTGGCAATCCTTGTGGTTCATATTGTTAAGTGTAATTATCGAAAGAAGCTGCTCCCTTGAAATGTTCATGAGATCCCTGTGGTTTAGAAACTACCAGGTCTTCTAGCCAGGAATTCGCAAACAATATCGCCTCTGCGATCAGTTCTGCTTTCAACCCCATTCCGAGGGCTGTTAAAGTCTCCAGCCAAGATTAATTTCACCTGGGGCTGAGTTTATGCTTGCTCCAGTTCATCAATTTGCTTCTTAAATTTGCTCTATTTTCGGTCGTTTGCCGGAGAATAGCAAAACTGAATGATTTCTAAGGCTGTCCATTTCTACCCATTACAAAACATTTTGTTTGCATCTTTAAATTTAGAGACTTATTTTGGGAGTTAAGTATTATAACTTCTGCACGTCTGGTCGTCGTCCTGGTAGAGGGATATGTGTCAATTCGTGCTGCTCCTGACCAGTAAGACATTCACCTGTCTTTCCCTAGCAGTTTGAAATGCAATTTGGAGGCCTTTCCTTTGCGTAAATTAATTTTGAAGGAACTTAGGCATTTCTTTTGTTTTACCGAGTTTCCTCAGTTCTGCAGTGAAAGGAAGGGCTTTATAGCTACCCAGCTTATGATTTGTTTCAAGTTTTTAGTTTTGCAAACATAATTGAACTGGTCCTCTGCGTCCTTGGCAGTTGCCCTTTTTGCCCACATTTGGTAGGCATACTTAAACTTCTGTCGGGGGCTCTTGCAAGGGTTGAGATATGCAAAGCGTAGACATTTAAAGCTATCTGCTGACCTGGTGCTTCATCCTAACGTGGCAAGGTAAGCCAGCCTATCTTCAAATTCTCTGCTTTGAGCAGAATTTCTGTCTGGCGCAGGGGCTGTGCAGTCGCTACCTGTCTGCCTCGTACACCTTGTATAGTCTCCAGGTCCGGGAGGAAGTCCCCGTAATGCGTGGTGAACATCTCTTACTTCATCTAGGGTAACAGACTCATGATGTTCCTTACTCATTAAGGTTTTTGGTTAAAAACGTTTTGATGTTTACCCTGTCTCTATTCCACGGGTGATTGCTTCGTTTAGGGAAGTGGGTACATCTTTCTCGCAGGGCTATCAGGAGTTCATTTTTACGTGTCCTCTGATCGTCTGCTATTAGCGTTGTGTTCCTTGGGTCAACGCTTCCTTCAATTCTTTTTAAATATTCGGCATATGATTGCCATTCGTTTGGCTGTCAAGTTTGTGATGGCTGGTTGGTGGATCTTCTGTCCGTGCCTTGGGGGTTTGATTGCGTCTTGTGGACTCTCCTTTTTTCTTCACCGTCTTCCTGTGTTCCACTTTCTGCCAGTTCTCATCGGGGTTTTGGTTTGGTTTTTCAGTAACCAGTTCTATGACTTCATTCTGCTTGTCTTTCTTGTCTGGCCTTTTGTCTTGTAGTGGACTTGGAGCTTGTCTCTTCTTCTTCTTCCTCTGGGATTGTGCTGTTTTCACCGACTTCTCGTTCATTTGTTTGCAGGGTTTGGTATTCTCGGCTTTTTTGTCATTCTCTTGGAGGATTATTTTCTCATACATTTTGGTCTTCTTTAATGTTTTTCCACCTATTCTTTAGGGCATCCACCTCTTTTAGAGCTATAGCCACGGAGTCCACTATAAGGGCCCCTTCCCGCGGCGCGACCGCCGCGCGCTTCGCAGCAGCGCGGCGCGTAGCAGAGCATTGGTTTGAATGGAGACCTTCCCACGTGCAGCGGGTGGCGGCTGCTGCGGCAGCCGATGCCGAACTCCAGCTACGCGAAGCGGAGGAGGAGGCACGCAGAACAGCTTTAAATGGGAGCGTTCCCACTGCGCCGCGGCCGCAGCGTTCTACCTGCTCCGGTCCCTTCGTTCGTCGTCGCCGGAGGGTCGGCGAAACCTACCCCTCCAGACCCCACCCCCTTCCACGGCGAGCGGCGGTGCGGCCGTGGCTCCGACGGTGGCTGCGTCGGAAGGGCTCTGCTGCTTGAAGGAAGCGCGCCGCGGTCGCGCCGTGGGAAGGCGCCCTAACTGGGTTGTTTTTCAGAATGTTGCTGCTGCTGATAATTAATTGACTCTGAAGATGGACAATAATCTCCGAATTGTCTTCCATCAATTTTTGAGTCATCATCCAGTTATCTGATGTCCAGCCCCTCGCATTACTTTCCCCTGCCGCCGTGGGATCTTCTTGGGCCAGGGTTGCCTTGTCTCCTGTGGGTACACCAGTTGTCGTGGGGGTACTTGGAGGTGATCTCCGCTGTTTCGACTCCCCAGAAAAGGGGTTAAACCCTGCTTTCTCTATGCTTTCGCTTGTTGCAGTATAGTATTTCATAGACGCCAAGCGGTTCACGTCTCTGAGATTGCAGTCGCTGGTTAACGACCTCCGGGGGCCTGTTTGCCCACCCCCGGCTGCTGGTACTGGGGCTCCGATCCCCTGCACCGTAACGATTGATCCCGAGGGACCGTTCATCGTGGGTTTATTTTCGGGGTCACCTTCCCCTAACTTTTTAACGCTGCCTCCAGCGTCTGGATTGGGTCTACGGGTGGTATTTTATTTCCCTCCTGCCCTCCGGCGCGGCCGGTAAGAGCATTCCCCGATCCGCCACCTGGGGACTCGCCCTATAGATCAGCTACTCCTACGGTTTATTATTACTATTATTAATATTATTATTATGACTGTTAAAAAACTGTATGAATTTCAAATTTTGCAAAAAAAAAAAAAAAATTCAATGAAAAGTACAGGAAAATCAGTGGACACAGCTATGAAACAAGAAAAAAACAACAAAATTTCATACTTCCAGAGACTTTTAATAAATTTGGAGAAAGGATGCATAACACAGCCATTCCAAAACTGCTGAATTCAATGACGGATGAAATATTAGAAGTTACATCTAAAAGGGAATTGAAAAAAATAATTAAAAGAATGGTACACAAGATACTAGACACGACATGAAAATAGAAAGCTGTGAGTTATCTCTTTAGCTTGTGCCCTATTGCCATTTTGTTTTATTTATAATTTATTTGTTAATTTAAAAAATTATATATATTTTTTTGGGGGGGGGGGATTCTTAATATGTGAATTAAGTAAAACATAACTCTCATTTTTGCCAGTTATTAACTGCAATACTGTCATTACAAGATTTTATTTTGTTAATTATGTACAACTAAATCTTCACTGAAACTGTAAACTACCGTCATCACAAGATTCTAATTCGTAAGAAATGTATAATGTTCCTGTTACACTCATTCAGTTATTTGGTTATTCTATTTCGTTTTTGTTTTGTTTTCCAATTTATTTGTTAGTTTAGATAATAATTGGATGATTGTGATTTCTTTTTGCTTGTTGAGTTGCGTCATTGCAAGATTTTATGTTGTTAATTATGTATAACTAAATCTTCATATTGTAAACAGTGGTTATCACAAGATGATAATTCGAAAATAATGTATAATGTTCCTGTTACTCTCAGTCAGTTTTGTTTGTTTTTTTTATTTTGGTTGATCTATTCTATTTTTTTCTGAGAAAGTATTCTTAGAAACTTTTTGATTGTAATTTGCCAATTAGTAATTATGTCAATTGTTAATTGGTCACTGTATATACTATGCTTTGTTTGTGTGTCCTATCATTTGTTGATTTGATTTGTCACTAGAAGTCTTCAACATGCTAATTAAGTATATCTTGCCTGTTGCCAACTGCCATCTAATTTCATTTATTACAATCCCTTTGTTAGTTTAGAGAATAATTGGATGATTTTGTTTTCTTTTTGCCTATTGAATTTTGTCATTACAAGATTTTATGTTGTTAATTATGTACAGATAAATCTTCATATGGTAAACAGCGGTTATCGTAAGATGATAATTTAAAAAAATGTATAATGCTCCTGTTACTCTCATTCAGTTCTGATAATTGTTCACTGTATGGACTAATTTTTGTGCTTGAGTCCTACTATTTAATTTCTAATTATTTATAATTGGACAATTTAACTCAAGTTAATGTCAGCTGCCATTTGGCATAATATTTCTATTCGTTTCTAGATTTGTTAATTTAGATAATAGTTTTATTTCGCTTTGCTTGTTGATTTGTCCTTGGAAAAAATCTAAATTCCAATAAAAACAATTCACGCATCATACAGTAAGTGGCAAACAGTCCTAATGATGGGTGAACTATAATCAAAACCGTTAATTGCAAAAAGAAAAACGTACCATGTAACGCACTCCTGTCTGACAAGTACATAAAGTACTTGGAGAGGGTTTGAAGTGTACTGAAAAATTTAAATTAAAAATTTAAATCTGATAAGACCAGTATTTTTACTGAAAGGTTAAACAGGATGTATAATGTAAAGTAGCCGAACAAAATTGGTATTCTTTCTTATTGTTTTTATGGTAATGGTTTCAAGTCAAGTCAAGTCTAGTGATGTCAATGTAATTCTTTTGGAAATAATTTATTACTATTTATTATTATTATTATTATTATTATTATTATTATTATTATTATTATTATTATTATTACATAGTTGGCATCTCATCTAAAGGTGAATTCCTATTATGAACGAACATTTTTTAATTCAAATAAGCACTTGAAAAAAATATGTACATTAATCAAAATGTTTTGAGTTTTCAATGAATATATTCAAGAACATATTCATCTTATATTAGTCCTAAGAAATGTAGAGTGGCTGCTGCTTCTGCACTAATAGGATCAACAATAATTTATTAATGCAGTACTTTGAGATCTTACAGAAGGTAACAATTCATTATAAATTATAAATGCACAAACATATTTCAGAAGAATTTTATTTATGAAAACAGTCCATAATGACAAGTCTAAATGCTCAATTTGAACATGAAAACATGCATTCCAAAATGGTTCTAGGAAGAGAAATGCAGAATTTCTGTCATTCTTCTTGTGTGTTAGAATCAGAATCACTTGAATCAGACTCTTCAGTATCATTTGTTTCCTTATCTTCGCTATCTTCTTCATCATCATCATCATCATCACTGTCTGTCTCACTCTCACTGGAATGTTCACCAGGAATTTGCCGATTAACATTCACAAATAAATCCTCTTCGCCCTTTACCTCTTTAGTTGCATCAATTCCTTCAAATTCTTGAGGCCAGCAGCCATTAGCACGATAAAACCGCTGATGATCATGAGTCAAAATGAGTGCAATTTCTGCTTTAACTTTGTCACCTTCTGGAATAGGTTCTACCAATATAAAGTCACCACGCTTTATCCAGAAATGACGCCTAAATTTTGTTGGCATAGATGCAAGATATCTTGCACCGTTGGGTTCCTCAACTTCATGTAAGTTGTTGCCACGCCCTGCAAGCACACGAACTACTTTCTGTTGTTCTGTAGGTACCTGCAGGGTATCCTCAAGCACTTCACGTTCTACATGTTTACGTTTTGTAAAGGCTGACATCTGGAACAGGAAATATGATATGTATATCATGGTCACTGAAGAGAAATATTTATTTACCAAGCAAAACAAACAATGGTTCTTAAAAATTTAATTTCCACATTTTAGAAAATTTCTTAGACTTTTCACTCTAAAATATTGCACAGGCATTCATGTACAAAAAAACATTAATTTTTAACATTGTAATATGAACAAGGTTAAAATTGCTAAATTCACAATTTTTTGTTGTGCTCTGGAGAATACAGGAGCAAACAGTAAAATTTATTTTTACCACCTCTACACAAAAGCAGAGAGAAAAGAACTTGACACTTATTTATGTTTTCAGGCTCTTGTTAATGTTATGAAACAATGGCAATGCTCAAAGATTATAACATAAAAAAAAAAAGTAAACTGCTAAAAGCTAGTGACAAAAATTCTTGGTAGACATTATTTAACTACATATATATTATATAACTATAAATAAAATAAAATAAGCACAATAAAATAATTAAATGAGTTGCTCATGGATAGGGCCTTCATTTTAATGTTGGATTGTAATATGATAAAAATTATTTTCTTACATTGAAATAAAATTTATTTTTGGACATGTATTTTGGAGGAAATTGACTTACTTGACTTTTAAAAAACATTTGTAACTGACACCTCGAGGTAGACACTAAAGTGCAACTTCTATCTGTTCTTTTTCTTTTAACAGAAATTTCTTCAACTATAAAAACATCACATCAATTTCTTAAGAACAAAATTTTCATTTTCATTGCTGCATCTCAAGAAAAATTTAGATAATCTCTTTCTTCCTTCTTCTTGACTACTAAGTGAAAAATCATAATTTAAAGGAGAGAGTATTTTTTGGTATCTTTCAATAAAATCAATGCTTTATTTACAACTTATGATTTAAAAATCTTTTTCTTCATTTACCTCAAAACACTACATTCTAAACATTTGGGTACCAACACGTGTGTGATCTTCAGCACATAAGTGTTTTCTAATTATACCAAGAAATTCCACTCAATTAATTCAATTATATGCAAATTTTTCTTGTCAAACTCTAGAACTGTGAACTTTTGTAAATATGGAATTCATTTCAAAAGAAATTGTCATCGTACGATGGACACTAACAACATATAGGAGATTCCAGAGGCATAGCCAAGGTTCTTTAGGTCTCTTATGGCATCAGTGATGCCAAATGTCACATCTTTTTTTCTTCACATTTTTAATTTTGTAGAAACTCGGCAAGAAATCGTGATACCATTACACATCAAAGGAATATCCGAGGTGAACAAGCACACAGAACAACCAAACACAGCATGGAACATTAGGAAATGCTCACATATATGAGGTTGTAACTAGTTCATAAGTTTCAACGACTGATCTTGCCCCTTCGAAAGAAAATCAATTAATTCTTTTGATACATGTCATATTTTATGGTATAAACATAATGTTCTCATGAAACAAAACAGTTGCTCTGTAAATTGATAATAAATAATATTACAAACAGAATTGTAAGGATAAAATAGAGGTTACGCTGCTTTGCCAGAAATGCCCCCAAGGCCCTTAAAGATGAATTCATCTTCTCATGAACAATAGGAAGCCAGAGACTATTCCAAGCTGAACTTGTTTCATTTTACCTATCTCAACAGAGACGACCATTCACCACAGGTACAAGCAGATACAAGGGACAAAGATCAATTATCAAATTACTTCAGTAAAACTTGCTCAATGTGGATATCTGTCTAATGTGAACATAATTCGCAGTTGTGCCAACTTAAATGCTAGTTTTACACTGCATAATGCAGAATCTTGGAAAAACATACAGATCCCTTGAGATTCCACATTTGGCAAGTTCTACTGTACTTCTTCCTGTTCATGACATCTAATGCTAGTTATAACAATTAATGGTATAAGAGGATTATAAATTGTTTAATAGCAACTGAACTGGCCTACATGGAAAGACTAGTCATCAAAACATTACAAACATATTCAAACAAAGTAAACATTATAACTCAGTATATTAAGTATAACTCAGAAAGGTGAACAAGTCAACATAATAGGCAAGGATGCAATAACAAAGAAAATATTAAAATTAAATACTACATAATGAAAATATTGAATAATAAGTACTACACAAAATTTTAAATAATGATAATTTTTGTATTTATATGCTTTACAATTACCTATTACTCATATTTTATTACAAATAATTGTATCTACGAGTGTATTACACTGAAAACAACAAAAATAATTATTTACAATTTACAGTTATTAAAGATAAAGTTTTATTAACCTTGCATTGTTCACGCTAAACCCACGAGGCTTATTTTTTTTTCTTATGAAAGTTGATCACACTCATATCTTCTTGCCAAAAGCAGAGGATCTGTTAACCTTATGAACCACAAGTTCCCAAACTTTTGCTACTTGCAAAACCTTATAAAATTTTAATTTTATTACCAAACCACCAGTGAATTTATTAGTAATGGTGAAAACAATAATACTGGATGGTTGTTAAGATTTATCTTCCTTACTGCATAATAGTTCACAATGAAACATGAATGCTTGTGATTTATCATTTCACCATTACAATATTATTTACATGAATCCCTGATTGGGAACCGCTGCTACAAACAACAGATTGTTGATGCTGTGGGTATAAAGGCGAAGAGCATGTTCACTCTGGCTATGAGAGAATATTGTTTTAGAATTTATTATTGTTTAAAAACTCACTGAAACCTTATGGTCTTAAGTAGTCACCATATCCTGGCAACCTCCCTTTTCTGTGGTTTCCTGGAACATTTCATTCTGTTTACTCTTCCATATTTCTCATACGACTTTTTCCCTGGATGGAATCTTCCCCCACTTGGACTAGCAAGGTAGCCCAAAGAACCTTCTTAGCCAGATTTCCTATTGTAACTATTGCAAATATATTCCTTATTTTTCTTATATTCCTTATATTTCTGGGACAAGGAAATGAGAATGATTCAAAAATGAAACATGGTATTTGGGAGTGTCACACCTCTCAAGTAAACATACACGACATGACACAAGTAAACAAACATGCCTGGAGTAGGATTTGAACCTGTGGCCCTTTGAGCTAAAATAGTAGTGTCTCAGTAATCTCTTCCACCCAAGTTGGCACTTGGGTGAGTAGTTATTTGACAAGTTTCTGAAATACTTTCCAGCTTCACATAAGAAACAATATCTTTTGCAAGAATTTTGCTTGTTCTTCATTGGATCTCTTTTACTTCCACAAAAGAATTAACTGTTTAATAATATTATTAAAGAACACTTTATTTCCTCAGTTCCTTTGGTCTTTTCGCGTTGGGTAGACCATGTCATATTGACCCGTGGAATAAGTTTACACATTGTACTTTGCTCAAGACCAGTTACAACTGGTGCACCATCAGCCACAGCAATCAGACGCTAGTGCTAAGTGCACATTCACATATCCTGAATGCCAGTGGAGTTTTTGTATTACTGTGAAGAGCAGTTTTGTGTTTTTTTTTAACAATGTTGATCTGATACAACTGCTGAGGCTTGTAATGAGGATACCTTTAAAATTAGGCATAAACTGACATCTCAATAAACAGTGGGTTATTCTTCTTTCAGTTATATATTTGTATGAGCTAAAAGTCTAAAAGAGATTACTAAGAATTGAAAAGTTGATGAAACATGGCAATGGAGCAAGTTAATGCAATTTCATAATCTAATGTACCAGCTGCATAAAACAAAGGAGAAATAAAAAAAACAAAAATCGATAAAGGGAAGAAACAGGACAAAATTGATAAAGGAAAAGGAAGAAATAGTAAAAGCAAAAAGAAATAAAAATATCAACAAATTATATGAAGACAGTGAAGGTTATTTTTCTCTTTACTTATTAAGACAATTGAAACACTCACGAAAATAGGGAAGAATGGGTTAAATTAATGTAATTGGCACAATTCTCAAGGTGGTCCCATGAAGATTGCACCAAAGGGAACACTGCCTTTTTGTGTGCATAAATTGCAACAGAGGTATCAATGACGATAAAATAATTTACAATTAGTAATAGGGCCTGTATTTCTTCTAGGTATAATTATATTTTTGTGGAGACAATTCTGTTTCGACCTGTGTTGTTGGAGCATTCCAAAAAGGATTGTGTAGGATTCCAGGAAGTTGAAAGGATTGGGCAAGGAAAAGGAAGGAATGGATACAGACCATGGCCTCATCTATTTAGCTAGGGTTGGAACTTGAACCCTTGGACCTCCCAGTCCAAATTACTATACAGGGAGTGACAATGCTGGCTCTGACTCAGATGATAAGCTCATGGGGATTTCATTCAGTGGTACTAATGAATATGGTCATCAAAAGAATGTGCACTTGAGATGTTGCATTAAAATATAATTAAAGCGACAGATCTACTTTACTTGTATTAGATATAGTCAAAAGTTTTTAGTTCTTTAAAATAATCTTTTAATCTTCACCAAGTATCTTCAAAGCATACCTGACTTCTTATCACTTCTGAAATCAATTGATCGTATTGGGCTGAAACCAAATTTCCAATTGTACACAACTAACTTAACACATAGTCAGTTTGCAGGTGGCAGAGAGATCAGAGACACTAAAAGATTCAGTTTACATTGTCTCGCTTTCCGAGAATTTATTCAATCAGTGCTCTGAACTATTTGCATTATTTTATTTACATGTGTAGTTTCAGTAACTGTGAGCATGTGATTTGGTTGATAGTTTGTTATTGAAATGGCTCCAGGAAAAAGTAAGGCATGATATAATGTTTTGAGGCTTAATGATTTAGTGAAGAGTCAACACTGTGGAAAACAGCTAAAATCAGGAAAAGAATGTCAAATATGTTTTAATATTTTAAGTTTAAACATGAATGGAAAAGATAATTCAGATAATTGATCCCTTATCCGTACTAATTTTTATCCTCTTTTAAAGCCAAAAATGTACTGGTTTTTGCTACGGAAGAATTGTTTATTCCAATTAATTGATTAATTATTACTTTCAACCAGTTTCAACCAACTCGATTAATTGAAATTGGTAATTTTTCAATTATAATTAATGGATTACAATTCATTGAAAGAGTTTTGCCATCACTACTCCAAAACACTTTGTACCTTATCTATCTCCCCCCCCCCTATAATTCGATACTGTTACACAAATTGATGTTTCTAATACCCATTAGTAAAAAATGAAAATAAATATTCACCTACGCTATAAAAAAATCATTTTCTATAATGCAACATTACTGAAGAAAATATTTTATGATTCTTGATAAAAATATACTTTAAATGATACAGGGGGCATAATGCAAACACCTTCAGCCTTCAAGGTTTAGCACAAGCAAAATGTATTGAATGTTGGCACAAGCTATGCAGGATTAAATGCAGAAATGTGCACATGATATGCATTTTAAAGTCGGTATGGCAAAACTCTAAGGATCATAAGAAACAGTACTCCTACGTTAACTGCATTTTGTTACGGGCCTCTTGGTATGCAACGATTTACACAATTTCACTATAAACGCACATAAATAAAAGTCAATTGTGAGCACCTAGTTAATTGTATGAGCTGATCTTCAGCTTTGGATACAAAGATAGGAAATCAGCGCTACACAACGCGTACTTCTGGTGTGTTTGCTCTCTGATACTTCGAATAGCACTGTCAGCTTGTGATGTCGGAACTTCTCTGCGCGGATAAGCGATTCAGACCGTCCTCGCACTCGGGGCAGCAAAGGCCGCGGAAGCGCCGCGCGGGGCGCGGAGCACGCCGCCAGCGCGCGCCACCGTCTTGTACACGTCCAGCGCCTCCCCGGGCGCAACACCGTAGCCGCGACGAAGCCCGTGCGGATTGGAGGGCGTGGCGCAGTCGTGGTGCGCGTCCTTGCGCAGCGCCGCGTCCACCTCAACGGACGCGAAGAAGGCGACGGCAGCGGGCAGGTCGGTGAGGCCCAGGCGCTGCGCACAGAAGGCGCGGGCCAGCAGGTTGGTGGCGTGCAGCGCCAGCGCGGCACGGTGCCGATCGCGCTCCGCCACCAGGTAGCGCACCTCGTCGTGGAAGCTAAGGCAGAAGCGCGCGCGCGGCTGCAGCCAGCGCATGCACACCAGCATCAGATGCAGGAAGTCGACGGCTCCGCTCTGCACCACCCAGTTCACGCGCGTGGGCAGGAAGCGGTCGTCGTCGCCAACGGACACCGCCGCCTCCAGCGCGCGGCTCAACCGCCCGCCCAGGAAGGGCGTGGCCGGGTGGGCCGCGTTCGCAATCTCTTCCAACCGGTTGAACATTGCGGACTCGGTGCCGCCCTCCCAGCGCGGCGCGCCGAACACTTCGTCCGTCGTGGCGCCCAGCGCTTGCGCCCGGCGGCGCGCCTCGAGCGCCGACGTGGTGCGCGCACCGCCCGCGTCCTCCGCCGCCGCCGCCCACTCTGGCCGCGCGCGCCACACGCGACGCCCCTTAGTGAGCGCGAACATCTTGGTGGCGCGCGCGCGAGCTTCGGCGTCGCCGAGCGCCGGGTTGAAGCGTTGCAGCAGGCGCTGGGCGAAGCGCGGGCCCGCTCCGTAAATGCGAGCGTAGTTGAGCACTTTGGCTTCGTCGCGCGACACGCCGGCCGCCGCCGCCGTCACGCTGTGCATGTCGGTGCCGTCCGCTTTCGACCCGCTCAGGGTCATCCAGCCGAAGGGTGTGCCGCCGTGGATGCCTGCCGCCGATGCGTCACCGAGAACCGCGGCGATCCATAGCTCCTGGAACCACAGCAGACCATAAGAACTCGGTTGATGGCTCGCTCAAGTTTTTCGCCGAAAGCTTTGCTCATCTCAAGAGGAACGAAATATGTTACACTTTCATACGGCTACTGACTACGTGTGGGGAAGGTACATAATAAAATAAAACATGGGAATCTCCCTCATTGTTGATTGTCTACACCGACAGTATGTAGTGATATATAACTGTAATAATGTAACTGGAAAAAAAATATTCCCTGCTAAATTACAAATATGCCTTCCACGGAGAAATGCAGTAATTCGCTAACACGAAACGGAAATTTTGCTAGTAAACGTACAAAACATCTTTCCCAGAGGGCCAACACTTACATTTACAGTGGTACACTTAATGTTATCGTATCACTGCATGAGCACCTAGAGGCGAACCAGACGTACCTGGGAGTCCACGTCAGCGCCGACGAAGGCGTGGCCCGGGGGCGCGTGCACGAGGGCGCGAAGCTCGGAGCCCAGGCGGCCGGGCTTGGCGTTGGCAGCCGTCATCCACGTGGGCTCCACAGCGCGGCGCGTCAGGGTGCCAGCGGCCACCACCTGCGGCACGATGGCGCCCAGCTGCAGGCCGGCGCCGTGGGCGCGCAGACTGCGGGGCAGCGCTGCCGCCGGCAGCCACCCCACCAGCTGTCCCAACACGCGCTCGCGGTTATTGCGCCAGTAGCTCAGCTGGCGGCCCACGTCCAGCACGCGCGCCGCCCCGGGACCGGCGCCGGCGAGCACGCCCGCTTCGAACGCGCCTAGGAAGTCCCGCGCCATCGGGCTGCCCACGCGCGCCGCGCCGTCTTTGTGCGGCAGCTTCAGGAACCAGCAGCCGCCCACCGACGCCCCGCATCGCACGCCCGCGCCGATGTACCACAGGGGCGCCGCAGACGCCGTGCCGTCCACGCCCCCGCGCCTCGACGCCCACCCCAGGCGCTCCTGCACCTCGCGCCGCACGCTCTCCACTTCCCCAGCCGTCTCTCCCTCTTCCACTCTCGTTTTCGCTCCAGCAGCAGCCACCACTGGACACATCGCAAGAAGCTCCGTCAAGGGGGGCTTCGCTGCCGCGTCCTCGGCCTCGGCCTCTTCCACTCCCTCTCGACCCTCGCGTGGCACTAAAAATCCCCACCCGTGCTCACGCACGTAATGCAACGGATAACCTTCCCACGTAAGGCGCAACAGCTTGGGCGTCACTTGGAGCCCCGTGCTGACCCGCGCAGGCCCGGGCGTCCACTCTTCCGCACCGGGGCGATCGCAGAGGTTGCGGTACCACGCAGGGTACCCCGGTAATAAGGGGCGCTTGGCAGGCAGTTGGTATCGCGTGGCGGCAAGGTTCCGGAACTTCTCGGGCCACTCGTCTGGGTCGAAGTCCTCGTTGGCGACGGCACCGTCGGTGCCCGAAGCGCGCTTCTTGGGGGCGGTTTTCCGCAAGCGCAACTCCTGCACACTCCAGTCCTGGTCCCACATCCAGGGATCACGACAGTAGGCGTGCGCGTGCAGCAGCGCGCACGCGTCGTCGGCGGCGCGTGCCAGCATGCGGCGTGACTCGGCACGCAACTCATCGTAGGTGCGCTCGGCGGAGGCGAGAAACCGGGGCCACGCGGCGCCCACGGGCAGGTATGCCCCGCCCAGCTCTAGCAGTCCGGCCAGTGACACCGGGTGCGGAAAGCGTTCCAGGAACAGCGGCAGCACCTTGGCCAACACGCGCCACGTAGCCGCCACGTCCCCGGCGCAGTACGCGGTGGCGCTCTGGAAGTCGGCTCGCACCTCCGCCAGCTGCCCGGTGACGAACAGGTCCCGGGCCGCCTTGTCAAGGGGTGCGCCGCAGTAGAGGCGATGCACGTCGGCAAGCGAGTTGAGCGCAGCTACCTCGCGCCACGCGGCGTCTTCGGGCTCGGCGTCCGCTGAAGATCGCAAGGCGGCGCGCTGTCCGCTAGCCAGCCCGCCCACGCACACATGCAGCGACATTGTGTCGACAAAACGCAGAGAGGAGCGCTCCAGCCAGTACTGTTCGCGCACGCGCGCGCGGTCGTAGGACACGTTGTGACCCACGACCACCCGCGGCCGTTGGTACACGCCCGGCGCGAACGTTCCGGTCGCAGGCTCGCTCTCCAGAGGCAGGAAGTCGTCGGCGGAGTAACGGCGAGGGGGAGTGGCGGCAGGCCCGGCGGAGGCCGCGGCCAAGCGCGGGCTCACCCAGCAGTACCACGCGGCCGGACTCGCCGCGGTGGCCAGCACCGGAGCTTCGCCGGCCGCGCGGCATACTTCCACGTCCAGCACGAGGGCGTCACATGCCGGGAACGGCACGGGGAGTGGGGGCTCTTCGGGGGCGTAGCGCGTCCAGCCCACGCGCAGCTGCCACTCCGCGGGTGGCGGCGGGGGCTCTGGAGCGGCCGCCAGGCCCTGCAGCAGCGCGCGGTAGGGGCCGCTCTGCTCCTCGCCCACCGTGCGGAAGTGCTCCTCCACGTCGGCGCCGCGCAGCCGCGGCAAGCGCACCCCCGGGTCCGCGATGGGCGCGGGCGGCGCGCGCAGCAACCCCCGTCGCTGCAGTTCTTTGCGCGCCCGCAACGCCGATCGAACCAGCTCCGGCGACGGCGACGCCGTGGCCTTTGCGCCGAACAAATGGCGGTGCAGCGACTCCGGCAGCATCTGGATGTTTATCTCGTTGAAGCGGTAGGGGCCATCGGAAGGACGTGGAGTTGGGAGATCTTCTGACGGCTGGGAGCTTTTCGAATTTTTGCGGGGTAGCTGTTTGGATTGCGAAGGATAGCATTCTCCCAGTGCGTGATCGAGACTCCGTAAAGTTGCTGGAGAAACAATGTCATAGTCCTCAGGATGGCGGCGGCGGAAGACGCTTGAAGGTGTGCTGTTGCAGTCTATCACCGTCACAGTTTTCTTCCCTCGGGTAGTTGTTGATCCAGCTTGTCGTTTTGACGCAATCGAGGACGTTTGTTTGCAATTACGCGCGCATGATATGCGATAACCACCTACTCTACATACACCGCAGATGTGGAGATAATGACGAAGGCTCTCCATAACTCCGGTAGTATTTCCCAGTAATCAGCAGGTGACAGTGGCGCGAGAATTCTGCACTTGCATAGAAAAAGCAGGACTGCTACCCGCCGCAGCAAACTCGCAACATTTCAACATTTGAAAACAAGGCCTGTTTACAACTTTGCATTGTCCTTTTCTCTCAGTGTACGAATTCAAATAACCTTGGACATATTTCTGTTCTGAAGTCCCTGGCTGCAACTTAATATTTATACAGTTTATAACATTAGAAAACACTATACAAAAAATTGTAATGGTAACGAATGTTAAGAAGCAGCATATTGTGGGCGAATAAGGGCTAATAACACATCTTATGATCTACTCAGTGGAAGAAACAATGTTTTTTATTACTTTTCAACCATCCCAATCTACCAGTTCACCAACAGGTGCACGTGAACCGCTTACTTCACCTTTGCCATGCGAAGTGGTGCAATTGCTTACATACTAATCTACATTTTACCCATTTTATAAGCTTGAACATACCTTACAGTTTCATGTAAATGTGGTTTAATTCTTGTTGCTGTTTGATATTCTTCAGCGCAATCCTTTTATTTTTAATCACACAATTTTTATGCCAAGATTGCAATAACCTAAAATTTCGTGGCTGCACAGTACGAGATCTGAGTAACCTGAGAGTAACTAACTCCCTCACAGACTCCAGAGCACAGTTACACTTTATATTGTCATTTCCAGAGAGTGTACAGAAACCTTCACATTACGACACTGTTTCGATACTGTTTGCTAGTTATAACTAATTAATAATTTATTTGGCGTCTATTCAACGAAGTGCAAGTTTATTATTAAATTTTATGGAAAAACATCAAGTTAATTTAGTATTTGCAGAATCATGCCGAAAATATTGGTACACGCAACGAGTCGATCAGAATTGAGAATCCGGCGCTCGTTCTTCGATTTCATTTCCTGTTCATTTCGCGCAGTCGCATAGTTTAATGGCATATTTGGATATATTTTAGATTGTTGTTCGAGTTCGAAGAATTATCCGAAAATTATATTACTTTATTTACGTGCACTTATATTGTCAAAAAGCTAATTATTAATTTGGAAATTTTACATGTAGTTATTTACATGGACTGCTTGGTTTTTGAAAAGCCCTTCCTTGTGCCCGTTCTTTTCTCTAGTAATGCTAGATCAAGGTGTTCAATAGTTTCTGTATGAAAATGCTGATAAAATTACAAATAAGAACACTTGCAAACAGTATTGTAAAATACATATAGGCCTATAACCTGCAATGAATGTAAATGTACTCAGAAAATTCGAGAAGATAAACAACTGATACAAATGCAAGGTAGTATCTGTTTAATAACCAGTGGTTATCAATTTACTATGTTGTCATCGCAAAGGGAACATGTATAAATATTGAGTTTAGTGAAATAAATAAGAAACTAAAGTTCTTGAGAGCTTTGAAACACCAGACATGGACATCTTAACTAAATAGAAAAGAACATGTACTAAACCAGTGATGTAAGAATGAAAATTAACCCTCACATATACATTTCAGCCTTTCATAGAGATGCATTACAAACCAGCTGGGAAACTAGATGACTACAGTAAATGTGAAATTCTTAAAGATCCTACATGTATTATTATTCCAGAACATATAATATTTAAGCAATAAATCTGAACAATTGAAAGTTGCACCAAATAATAATAATGCATGAAATGCAGTTATTACTGAACATGAATTAAATTTCAATGAATTAAAACTGATATAGTTGGTGAAATTTTATCTCAGAGATTCAATGGAAAAACTTAATAATGTTCAGGTCAGTTAAATTTTAAACGATTGTTTTCTAACTAAACCATGAAAAAAATCTCCAATAACTTAATACCAACAAAATGAAAATCTTTAGGGCTGATTAATCTATTATTCTTAGTGATACAAGTACTGAAGTGATTGACCATTAGTTTTATAAATAGTAATTTACAGATTTTGATTACATGTGGTTAGTTATGCTGGAAGTGTGTAAAAACTGCTCAATTCAATTATTGTCATATCTAATAGACAGTTTCTAAAGTGTCTGCTATTTGTAATACATTGATTATAAGTATTGTAAGGTCTTAATAAAAAAATGTGATAACGTAGAATGAAAACATTATCCTTTAAACCTAATCTCAATGTTTGCCAAGCTCTTTGAAAAGGTACTTCTGACTGAAATAAGCTCGTGTATTTCCATGAAAATATTTGCTAAATTTCAACATGGATATTAAAAAGGTTCTATGACTACCCTGGAAACTTCATTAATAAAGTATTGAACAATTTAAAAAACCCAGGCAAAGGACTCTTTCTAGATTTATCAAAGGCCTTTAGTAAAGTATACAAAATACTTGTAGAAACATTGTAATGTTATGGCATAAGAAATTTAGTAAAAAACCTGATAAAATCTTACTTACACAGTGCCAAGCAAGGTACTGAAATTTATTATGAAACTTTTGAGGTTCATTCTGACTTTAAACTTATACCACCTGGTGCCCTACTAGGGACACTTCTTGGACATTGTTAGCCATTCTAAATGATGTACTTATACTCTCAGATGACTTAAATACCATATGTAGATGAGGCCTGCCTAATGAGCACCAATGAGAATTTACTTTCCTTAGAAACAAACAGAACAGAATCATCAGAAGCATAAATGCTTCAAATATAACAGGCTAAAATTAAATTAAGTCAACGTTAATTAATTTTTAGATATCTATAGTAGTGTGATGCATAATCTTAATGTACTGGAGACGAGTCAATCCAACAAATATCCTGTCATAAATTTCTTGGGGTGAACTTGTATCCATGAAAATGTATCCATAAGGAAGCATGAAGATTATTTGTGTGGCACACTGAATGCATACATTTCCTTTTCAAGATATTTTTCTAAATGTTATGTTGGTAACAAAGAGAGTAGAGGCTACTTGAACACTGCGAAAAACTATATTATGGACTTAACTTTTTGCATCTGCAGTACAGATTTGAAATATGGGTGACGATCCTCACAGATCATGAATAGATTAGTGAATGCACAAAAAAAATATATGTATCTCTTACCTCTTGGTGGTTATGCAAAATTTCATGTAGAACTGATGGGGTACATTTTGAACCCCAAGTTTGTTTCATTTCTGAGCAAAATTTTGCCAGCAAATGAACTCTAATATTTTATTTTCAATGTTTACTATGTGTATTTTTTATTAGGTTAAATAACAATTGCTGGATAGTGTTTGCATTTACACGTAACACCTTAAAACCATAAAAGTAGAAGTGCACTTTAAAAAGTTCCTGTATAATTAAAATCTCACCAGTTTTGGTTATAAGCTTGTCTCTTCCAAGCTTCTGATTTTACAGTACTTACAATGAAAAAGATCAAGACTATTTGTGCATATAAGGGTTTTTTTTTTAGTATCTATGAAGAGCATGTGTGATCTTTTATTAAATTTTCCATATTTCTCAATGATCTGCTTGACAATAAAAGTGATAAGTGCAATACCTTCCTGAGGATAAATCCATTTTGTTCTTCTAATAACTTGGTCACTGCAATATTGTACACACTGATTTATAAATATGCTTTCAGCAACATTTAAAAGACTCTACAATTTTTACAGGACAAATGGTCTCCTTTTCTGAAGATCAGGGTACTAGTGGATCTTTCTACTCTGGGGATAAACAAAACATGAATGATTATTGTTATTAGGAGATTAAAGATAAGGGGGAATACACAGGAATTCCTTGGGAGTTAAATATTTTTTCTATGGGCCTATAGGAAAGATCTTCAGGCATTCATTCTGTGGTTAGTGATGATCAGGTCTCAGATTCTGATATGTCATCTTTTCATTGCAGCATTGTTGTCATAGCTAACTTATAAATGTTTATAATGATATAGGTGATAGGAATGTATTAGTTAGTTGGTCATTTTTGGCCATTTTTAGTTTTATTTTTTACCTTTGCCTCATTTTTGTCATTTTTACGCATTCATCTCCCTTTTCAAGTTTTTAAAAAATTAATTTATCATGAATTTACGACTCACTATAACAGTTTTTATCGTATCATCAGTTTATAGTGAAATTCATTCCATGGACTCTGCTTTTTGAACTCTGAAAATTACATGGATCTTCGGTAACTTTCTCAACCTTTCAAAACCAACAGTTAGATCAGAGCTAAGGATCCTATCCTCCTAAAGTGAAGACTTTACATTAAATATAACTTTATATACATACATTTTCTTTAAACCTGTAAAATTCAATGAATAAGTAAATATTTTCACACACGTTTGTGATTAAAATAAACAAACAACAACATTTTTTCCTTTTCCCATTATTTTTGTGTGTGTTTTAGGTAATTTTCCTCTTATTTTTACCCTTTTTGAAGGGTTTTCAAATTTTCAAAGAATTTTTAGGTCATCAGAATCAGAGCCCTTGTAATGATTACAATATTACGATTTTACGAGATGTGACAAATTAATTCTTTCACAATGCCAATTGCATTCATGAGGTATGCATTGTGGTATTACAAAAATTTCATTCATTTTAGTGGACACATTAAATATGTAGCAACCTAACATTGTCAATTTTCAAATTTGTAATTAATTTTTTCTTAAATCCTTAAACAGTTGTAGTCCTGTAAGAATAAGAGTTCTCCCTCATCCTGTGAACGAGCCTAAAAGTTATTTGTAATAATACTCACAAGATGGTGAAAGTTTCCCCACGTATAAAATTGCAATGAGATATACATCCACATTCCATTCCATTTCTATTACCTAAAGATTGCCCATGTTAACCAATTACTTCCAAAAATTAATCTTGTAGAAAAAAGTTCCCAGCCAATTTCCTTAATTAATACCTCATTTCTATTACATAGTATTGTATGTTGACAGTTGTACTATTATCATGTTATTTTATCGTTGTTAATTAAATAAAAAAATATTATAATTCAGTGGGAAAGAATACACTCAATCTACTAACAATGTATAGAAATTAACTTATAAAGAAAATTTAACTATTTATTACATTTTCCCCTCCAAGTCATTGTCTTCAATACCTAATTTTCCAAAATCCTTCGCAACAGAGTTTGAATGAAGAGAAGAAAAAACAAAAATCAAAGGAAATATGAAACTCCCGAGACTTAAATAATGACCCAATTTCATTCCTTGTATAACAAAAATTTGATTAACTGGGAAACAACTGTATTCATATTTGGAAGATTCTCAGAAAGTGTACTCACTTGCATCAATCATTGAAGCAACCTGATGCAAATTATGTAGAATTATTTAATATTTTAAAATATGTCCTATAAAGTTTCTAGCATATTCTGTCAAGATTTTAATGTAGCATCTCCCAAGACATCAACAGAAAGTTTTAATGGAATAGTTTGATATTGCATTTAAATTTTGCCTTAACCATAAAGAATTTATGTTGCAGGTAACTGGAACAGCCCAACTTTTAGCAAGCTGTCAATTTATTGTCATTGTTATATTCCTGAATACATATTAAGGAAGAGACACTTAACTTTCAAAACGAACACATTTTTTGAAAGGCCTAGAATGTGATAAAACCAAATGCCCCAACAATCACATATTCCTGTGATGGTATTCCCCAATATATTAAATTTAAAAATTCATGGCAACAGAAAGTTTTTCATGTATTTTAACACCATGTCAATGCAATACATTAAACAAATTTAAAAATATTCTTCAGAAACATTACAAGAATGTGCTACCTCTAATTGCAGCTGAAATTGCAAGTGACATGGTTGCAAGAACTGGGTGAGGAAGACAAAGCAGATCCCCCACTCCTGGCAGCTCTCTTAGGTAAAGTTCCATACATACATACAACACAAAATATATAAATAGCTTTCCCAATAAAAAACATTGCAGAGAATAGAACCAAGACCATGATAATAAACAAATTCCTGTAAAGTTAACTGAAACTAACTTGCAGTTTAATGCTTCCATAGAAACAATAGGTAAATGAGCAATGCAACCAGAATTATAATAAAAATTCTGCCACAATTGCAGCTAGCACAATCAATATATGATATGAGTTACAATTTCATTCAGCACAGCTAAAATGTTCCAAACCCACTCCAAACAACAAGTTTTAACAAGGAATTATTCTCAGTTTAACATTCAGGCACCATTACAAAAATTTGATTCGTTCTTAAAAAAGTAAGGGAACATTTGAGTTGCAAGTGGGGTTTGACTTTCATTTCAAGGTGTAAATTGATGGGTTTGGTACCATATGTCATGGCACAACATTTTGCTAGTCAAACTTTCTAAATCTAAAAGTATGTACAATGACAAAAAATAAAATCAAAATCAATAAAATGTTTTTATACAATATACTTTCCCTTCCCTATACTTATTTGTAACCACTTCATGCATTTATCTGGCATTTTAGTGATGTTTCCCTTCATTGGCTGTTTGACAGTGAACACGCAAGTCTACAAACTCTTAATAGATAGAAAAATGCATCTGTAACCATATTGTCGAAAAGAAATCAAGATACAATGCACACAAGCAGTGATTCTCTTGAAAACTACAGGCAGAGAACCTAGTAGCTTGAAGGTTAATGCAGGAGCTGGACATTACAAATATTTTTTTAATTGGACAAAATGATTATTAAGAACTTATAACACTTGTCAAATAATTCATTCTCACAACTACCACTCCATTGCTTCAGGCAATACTTAATGCATAAGCAACAATAAAATTATTTTCAAACTGTTTATACCTGAGATACTAAAGCCAGTATCACCCATGCAACAACCTCCTTTAAGCATAAATTGTGAAAGTATGTGAATGAAATTACTTCTAAAGATGCTGTTCCGAAAAAATAGATTTTGAAAATATTTAGTACCCAAGAATGAAAGGAATGTATGAATACAAAGTAGATCACTTCATGAACATGAGTTAGAGAACAACACCTTACAAATTAAATATTGGTGAACAAGAAGGCACACAGATGCAAGATTGAAGCAAGTTTGCAGTCTGCGTTCTTCTACAGCCAAGTGGGTAATGGGATGTGCTTCTTTTCAATAACCATAACGATCCTGAAAAAACATTTTAAATCATAAATATTGATATGTACCCAATCAATCTCAGATTCATACACTTATAAACATTCTCAGTACCTGGATGGACGACATCACTCCACTGGCAATGGAACTCAGTTTTCCAGCTACTTTAGTCACTCCTTGACGAACACTCTCCTTCACTTCCTCTAAGTCAGGTGTGTGTATTCCTGCACCACTACCTCCTCCACCATGATTTGCACTTGACCCAGTTCCAAAGTAATCAGCTGAAGAGATGCTAGAAGAACCTTCAAACCGAGAGAGATTTGCTCTACGCTCCCACTGAAAAAAGAAAAATTAATTTTTCCTGAATTGCACTACTTTATGTCTATATGATTTTCAATAAAATCAGATATTTTATACGAGATTAAGTCCCTGGACAGCCTTGAAATGCACATTAATATATATTCTTATTCCGTATCATACCAAACCTGAAAGAATCAACTCACTTCTGTGAGAACACAGAAAGCTAACACCACAGCTTATGGAATGGGCGTCTTGGGATGACAAAATTTTCTTGTATTGACAAGAAAATTTTATCATCCCAAGGTGCCATTCCATAACTCTTTTCTTTTTCAAGAGTACATGACTTTATACGTGATGGATTCTACAAATGCTGGTTCTTAAGACCCTTCAGACCCTAGCTGTCATGACCTGGTTTGTGCCACCCCCACTCACAAAATATAAAGCTCCCTCACTTATAAGAGAATTCCATTTAATTTGAATAGCATTGTGCTGACCTGCAGTTCCACTACCACAAATCTACACATGCAACCAAGTCACATATTCCTCATAGGAAAGACTAAAAGCAGGAGTGAGAGAGAGAGCTCTTTACATAGCTTACCTAAATTGTGCATCAAGACCTACTGTGACAATTAAGTATTCTTTTGCTGAATTCATGTCATCAAAGTTGACTTGTTTCCATAATGGATAAGATTTTCAACTCAATGCATCTCCTTTAAATGTTATAAGCTGTGACAATAAGTACTGACAGAAACTTAAGAAATTCAAAATTTAATAAACTTACAGTACTATCTGCAGAGTCTCCAAAATACTGATCTGAAGAGATAGCTTTTGCACTACCAAATTTCTTCTGAGCTTGACCATTATTATCAGGGGTAGGAATTGGCTCACACGGAGGTGGTGAGCGTTCTTCCAGACTTGCTCCAGGAAGAGGTTGTGTACGTTCTGGTTCACCAGAACTCCACCCTTTGTTACTGGAATATCTGTCCCTACCAGAACTTGTGTCTAAGAACAGTGAATCCACTTTGTTTTCACTAGGACTTTTGTACCTATAAATATGCCAAAACAAACAACACAAAACAATTAAGAAATACCCATTAGTACAATTCTCAAGAATTATCCTTCAATAAATAAACTTATTCAAAAACTTGAAAAACATAGAAAGACGTGATTATGCTCTGCAAACTGAATTATGAAATTAGATGTATGACACATTAAATTGGAAGTTAGATTAAAAATGATAAACACCAAATAATTTACTTACATGCTATAACCAGGTGACATAAAGTGATAATCATCACTGAAAAGACCATCGTTATCCCGATCAAAAAGGGACTTTCCTCCTCCACTTATTTTACTAGGACTTTCTTGTTCAATAACTTTCATATCACTCAGGGCTGAATGACTAACACCTCTGCAAAAATTATACAACACAAATAGGTTCAAGTTACAATATACATACAAATCTATATCTCTCTCATATGAATCTATGTATGTATGTACGTACGTATGTATGTATNNNNGCATGTACGTACGTATGCATGTACGTACGTATGCATGTACGTACGTATGCATGTATGTACGTATGCATGTACATATGTATGTATGTACATATGTAAGTATGTATGTATCTATCTGTCAGTCTATGTGTCACACACACACACAAAATAAAAAATACAACTTACGAACGTGATGAAACTCCCATTCCCAAACGTTCCACTTGCTGTGCCTTTACAGGATCTGTACGACGAAGTTGCTCCTCTTGTTTACGCTGTTGCAAACTCAAATCTTGATAGGCCAATCTCATTGAAGCCATCTGAAGAGAAAAGAACATCAACTGCAGGAAAGTGTAGCTTGTGGTGCTACAGAACAGCACAGACCTTCTCATATTAGTTTACTCTTTACTTTGGGCTGGGCTAGCTATTTGGACTTACCACATACTCTTGCGAACTGCTATCTACACTGCTCAAATTACTTTTTTTTGTTTTACATTTTCTCAATATTTGGGTTTTCTAACAGTTGAACCGAAATATTACTTTAAGAATATTGAAGAACAGTAAAACCTAGTCATAAATGGATATTTGCATAGAAAAATTTGCAGCCATTTTTAAGAAAACTGTGTTTAAGCATTATTTTGGAAGCGTGAAATTTGAAGTTCATTTTCAAAGAAAATGTTTATATTCGAAAAAGTTCATTTAAGGTCATTTGAGGTACTTTAATTTTGAAATGCAAGAGTATTTACAAATTGCAGGAAATGTGCATATTAACGGCGTGAATGGTATATGAAGAAAATACATTTATTTAATTTTTGGAAGAAAAGAAAGAAAAAAAAAAGAAAGAAAAAAAAAAAAGCCATTTTTGAGAAAATTTCTGAAATTGTGGAATTTTGAGCTTATTTTAACAGAAATCTGACGAGGTTGAAAATCTTTATGACATTATTTTAAGCACATGTACTCATAAATGCAAAATCATTAACAAATTACTGCCAATGTAAATATCAACGATGAGAGTAACAAGTCAAACAGTTAATTTTATTTTTATTTTTGGGAAAAAGAAAAAGAATAAAAGAAATAGAGCAATATGATGTTTATATCATCTAATAGAGTGCATTTAGGACTATCCTTACTCAAAGTTTAAAAGAAATAAAAAAAATTGCAGTTGTGTTTGAAAAAAAAAACCTTGTTTTATAATTTAAAAAAATGCAAATATTGCATGCGATATTGCGTGAAATTTTCAAAACAGTGTACATGATCTTAAGATAAAAGAACTAATTATACACAACAAATTTCATTGGAAAGAAAAACCATCAGTTATGTAGTTTTAGAAAGACGCCGAAAAAATTAAATGTTTGCAATTTTCCAAAATTGAGAGTTAACAGCAAAAATTGGACATATACTCTATGTGTGAACTTTACTCTACTTTTACAATAAATTAAAATATATATAAAAAAGTGAAAATGTCCAGGGATCTTCATGTAAAGTACCCCAAGATTTGGAAGAAAGTTTTTCATAATCGCGGGGTATCAAATTGAGCCAGATAGACAAAAACCCTAGGTATGGGTTAGACGCTGATAGACTTTTTGAAAAATTAAATAAAAAACACTTACGATATCAGGAGACCCCTAAACGTGTCTTTCTGTTGAAATCTCGAAATTGATTTTACGCAATACATAACTTTCTCTATACTACATACAAGAAAGTAAAAATATGCATACACGCTTGGGAACATGGACACTGAACACTGGAAAAGTTTCTTTTTTCAAAACGTACTGGTGTATGCAACGTCATACCTTGGGATTGGCTAGGATAACTCACGAAATAAAAAAATCTTTCACCTGATTATGATAGGACACAGATTAGGAAAGGCGATGCTAAGTTAACAAAAAATGCAAATTTGGTCAGTCACATCCAGAAAGATTCTGGCGGCTTTAAAAGATATTATTTTCAACAAACCCCCAAAAAATTCTATAGATTTAAAAGAAACAATAACTCAAAATAGGTTCATACATAATAAATCTATTGACAATTGAAATGTTTCAATTACTATCAAAATGCTTGAGAATTGAATCAAAGTACCTAAAAAGATTGATTTTATTTTCAAAAAAATAGGAAGTTATAAATATTAAAATTGATAACAATTTTGTAATTATTAATAAGTCATTTTTCAGTTTTAGAAAAGAAAAACTTAATTTAAAATGAATTCAGAAATAATTTATACATGTTAAATGAATGATCATTTTCTTGCCATTAACAAGGAACTTCCTAAGAAGAGAAAGTTACTAATTGCTGCGTGAAAAAACTGAATTTTCGGTGGGAAAACTATTCTTACGGGGAATTGGTAACAAAAATGTGGATATATACAGTTGGGGAAAAATAAGTGGATCCTTTTCCCCGAAAATAGATGGAGGAGAAAACGTCTGTCGACAGTCAGTCAACAACGGGCACTTAACTATTAGGCCAATATTTTTCAAAATTTATATTCAATTGATCTGGCTGATAACGCGGCCCTTTAAATTCGAAACATATATTGGATTAATATTAAATGGCTCCAAAGTTTTTGATTGTTCTTTGTTGGATAGTGTGAAAGGACATTTAAGAGAATGGAGGAGCAGGTCTCATTTTCAAAAATTCCAAAGAAATCAAAATTTCTTCGGCACCTTTCTACAACTACAATTATGAAGATAGTTTTTTTCATTATAAAGGGTGTTCATCAAAAATAAATCTTCAATAATGTAATGTTCAATTTTTCGGAAATATGAGTTTTTATTGCGTAATTTTGTCAAACAGACCTTTTTTAAATTTTCTTTCAAACATTTCTTCTTAAAAATGGCACTCCATTTTTTTCTTTTTTTGGTAAATTTTGAAATCAGATATCGTAAAGGACTCTTAAGAAAATAGTGCAGGTGTCGTGTTTGTTCAAATCCCTAATTCTTCGAAAATTGAATAAATTTCAGCGACTATCTATAACTACAATTTTTCTTTTATGTAGAGTGTACGCCTGTTTTTCTTCACGCTTCATCCTGTGGATTCACTAAGTTGACTGCATAACTTCCTCCACCTTTTCTGTGGCCTTCCATGGTTTCTCCTTCCTACCATTGTATCATATCCCTAGCTATCTTCAGTCTATCACCGCTTATGCATGTTCCATTCTTTTTTCATTTTCTCAAATTTGGTAATATCAGTTATTTTATACTGTTTTCTTACATCCTGATTTCTTACCTTGTAACACCTGGTCTTTCCTACAATTGTGAAGATATTTTTTTCCCTTAATGAAATGTGTTAATCAAATCAATCTTCAAATATGGTCTCCTTAATTTCTTTCGGCCATAATGATTTCACTTCAAAAGTTTAAAATTCAGCTTTACTGTGCATTGGACACACATTCTGCAAATGGGATGGATATTTCAAAGCTTATCTGCCATAGCTTCTGATTTTGGTTTCCTTTCAAGGCATTAGTTTCATGAAACCTCCACTGAAGAATTAAAGAAATCCACAGCTGATCTTGCATTACAAACAATGATGATTTTGATGCCAATGAGTTGTGTTTGGATTGAAAACAAACACCAAACAAAATCATTATTTCCAGATATAAAAAATGCAGAGTACATTGTACTTCTTAATTTGCCATGAATAATATGGCTTAATAATCAATTATCAAATCAGATAAGTACAAGCACTGCACTTCACCTAGCATTGACGCTACCTGTGACTTTTGCCAACCGTGAAAGATTTTTCAGGAAAATGTAATTAATATAAAATTATTTACGATTACATACTTGTCAAGAACGTTAAAGTAATCTTGCTCTACTGTCGACTGAGTATTCAGTATTACAAAAAGAATTAATGTAGAACACATTATTGATAGAAAAAGCCAGAAAAGTAAACTTTTAAGAGATTATGAAATGCCTAAATGAACTCCTATTGTATTGTTTTCTTAATTGTAATTAAGAATTATTTTATACTTAAATTCATACACAACTTACATATAAATTAGACTTTCAAAGTCATTGTGTTGATTTTCTTCCTAAAACAAGTCTTGGGAGCGCAAAATACAAATCTTGCCACAGGAGCTCATGACCTTAGCTACGAAACGGTGTCAACAACACTAGCGCCTAAACCATGTGTAAGATTTTTACCAAATTGAAGAAACCCCTGTCAATTTTGTCTAATTCGAAGCTCTGCGATTTTGAAAAACATTCATTACTTTTTGGGGGTACTTTACATGAAGCCCCACAGACATTTTCTAAGTGTTCTCAAAATGTTTCTACACATTTCCTGTAAGAATAGAAATGCACTGTAAATGTGGCCTTGGTCTGTTTTTTACTGTTCACTCTGAATTTTCAAACATTGTAATCAACTTCCTACAACTATAGTATTGAAGATTTTAATTTGAAGAAAAAAAATTGTCTCTTTAATTCTTTCATTTTTATGAAATATTCAGTAGTTTTTGCATAATATTGGTGTACTATGTGCAATTTAAAAAAATAACAAACAAAAATTTCTCAAAAATGGCTCCAAATTTTTCCTTTAAACTTTAGGGACAGTGCAAAATATAACCTATAAGAAGACGCCATTTGCTCCATTTTTTGTATTTATCAAAAATTACGAGAATGTTTTCTTTTACTCGTCTCTCACATTGTTAATATTTACATTAGTGGTGATTTGTTTATATTATTGTATCTATGAGTACATGTGGTTTACAGAATGTCATAAAAAAATTTTCAATAACTTTTGTTGGTGAAAACTAGCTGAAAATTCCGCATTTGCAGAAACGCTCATGCCATTTTCTCGCAAATGGCCCCAAATTTTTTCTTCAAACTTTTCATACAAATAGTGATAGTTGCACAGTTTAATATCACAAAGTTCATGTCGGTATATTCTCTTGTTTTAAAAAAAATTACACTCCCCTCCCCCCTCGCCGTTAATATGCACATTTTCAGCGACTCTTAGACACTATAGCAGTTGTGAGTAAAATTTCTTCAAAACTCTTTAAATTGAGGTTTTTGAAAATTCAAAAACTTTTGTTAAAAAGGCCCTTAAATTTAGCATTTACAGAAACACTTCAAAAAGGTTTCTTAAAAAGGGTTCCAAATTTTTCAATGAAAATTTCCATTTGGAATGATGTTTTACTCTTCTTAAATATTCATTATGTAATATTTCAGTTCTGTATTACAAAACCGAAAAATTGAGAAAATTTCCAAAAAAATGTACTTTGTGGGGTGATAGATGGGAGCTAGCAAGTGTCTGTATGTGGCAAGTCCGAAAAGCTAGCCCACATCACAGAAAACAAATACAAGAAAGCCTGTGCCATTCTGTAGCACCACAAGTTTAGTCTATCACGACAAGCGTAAAAAGACAAATCCATTGATATACATAATCATATGTTAGACAAGCATTTTTTTAATAAGTTTAATTTCTTTTTGAGTAACTGTTACATTTTGAATGTAACAGTCCACTACATAAGGTCATGCAGCACTTGGGAATGGAAGCTGGTGAATGTATTTGAAAGTATGAAATATATTCCAAATCTTCACAAAATGGTTTCAACTTTTTCCTGAACTCTGCATTTCAGCCTTTCGCATTTTCAGATTTTTTATCTAAGTTAATAATTGAAGGATTGAAAATAAAGAGTTGTCATGAGTGTGTATTGAAATAAAATTGTTAGATACTTTAACTCCAGAAAAACATTCTAGCATATCCTCATAACTATACTAAATAGGTGTCTACCTTATCAGTATGAGAATGTTTGAAACAGAGTTACTAAATCGTAATAGACGAGTACCCCTAATATCACCCCAAAACAACAACATAATATTGAAAAATGAAAAGAGGCAAGTTTTAAGAGGTTTTTTTCTTTTTGTAATTAAGATGTCAAAAGCGACATTTCTGACCCAAACTGCATAATATTGAAATTACTACAAACAAACAAAAGAGTTACTGCAAATTTCAAAGCATTTGTAAAACTGACCATAAAAAGCATATCTAAAAGGTGAAGTTCATGTGAATAATTTTCAGAGTATTGCCCAGATTTGACACCATTCGATTTTTCCTGCAAGATGTTCTCAAAAACTGCGAGTAGCAAGCGTGCGAGTAGCAAGTGTGCGCGCGCACACACAATCTTCAAATATCGAATGTACAGTAGTGTTTAACGGCAATTTTCTTAAAAATACCTCCAACTTTTTGAAAGAAAATTGGCATTTATGATACTGTTTTACTGGTTTTTATTCTAAAAATAATATTTTCGTTCTACTATTAGGACAATGATAAATAAAGAAAATTTTTAAAAAAATGCACTTTGGGAATCGATAGATGGCAGCTGGCTAGAGCAGTGACAAGTTCGTGTAGCTGGCCGAGACCACAGGATATGGAAAACTATTACGGGAATGCCTGTGTCATTCTGTCAAGTGTAGCACCACTTGTTTACTATTTATTTGTTTCAGTGATTATTGTTATTATCTCGCTCGATATATCTACTCATTAGTGATTATATGCTCAATAGCTTTAAATTTTGTTCAAAATGTGCAATATTCTTTGTACAAAGTTAATAATTTATTCTTATTGGGTTTTATTTCAAGATCCCTGTAATATCCTGTGATTTTTCAATGGAGTTAAAGTAACAAACAACTTAATTTTGTTACGTATAAAGGTGGTCTGAAATGTTCTCGGCCTTGTCCATAGATCGAAGAGCTACTAGCATGATTATTTGCTGAAAAGTTAGTACAACTTTCAAAAGGATTCATTTGAAATTTCAGATAATTCCATTTAATAGTTGGCTGAAGACAAGTGTTTGAATCAGGTACAGTGTGTTTAATTGTTGAAATGGAGAATCTGCGTGATAAAGTTCTCCGTAAAAGAGGGTTTGATGCCTACCGAAATTCCATCAAGGATGTTAAAAGTGTATGGTGATTCTTGTCCCCCATTTTCCACCGTGAAGAAATGAGCAGCTAAGATCAAAGGTCACCATTTCAGCATCCAAGATAATCCTCACAAAGGATGTTCAAAAAGAACAACAGCAGAATTTATCGAAAAAGTGCATGATGTGGTTTTGGAAGATCAGCGTACTAAGGTGCTTGAAACTGCTGAGAAGAATGGAATTTCAAAAGAGCAAGTAGGCCACAATTTGCAAGAATTGCATATGAGAAAGCTTTGTGAATGATGGGTTCCGCATATGCTGACAGCAGATCAGAAAAGCTTTCGCACAAAACTTTCTGAACAATGATCAGCACATTTTAAGGAAAACAACAACAATCCAAGCAGTGGACAGAAGTCGGTTCTTTAGATCCAAAGAAGGCAAAGACTGTGCCATCTGCAGGAAAGGTCATGGCATCAGTTTCGGGATGCAAAAGGCATTCTCTTCATTTATTATCTTGAAAAAAGTAAAACTATAAACGGGGAATACTATTCTAATCTGCCAATGACTATTGATGACAAGACTTGTGAAAAGAGATCTTCCCAAGAAAAAAATCATCTTCAATCAAGACAATGCACCTGCCGACAAAAGTGTCTTCAATTGAATTGAATTGTTGCTTTACTTTACATGGCGAGACTCAGGCCATGAGGACTGCTCTTCCGTCTGACCATGCAAATTTCTCTACACGCCCTTCCCCAACCAGTGGAAAAAGGAGGTAATTCTTGGGTGACAAACCAGGCAAACTTTCCCGCATTTTACACTTTTTCCCATCAGTCCCCTGAAAAGTGTAAAACGGGTTTTACTGTATATTACATATTTATTAATTAACTGCATTAGAAAGAGGATTTATCCACCTTTTCTGAATCAGTAAGAGATTTTCTGCACAAAAATTGCCGTTTTTTGCGGCAGCATTACATAACTTTCTCTGCAATATGTACATTATTCCACATAATATGTACTTGTACATGAAAGTAAAACTCAAAGAGAAAAAAATGAAGTAAAAGACAGGAACCCCTCTTCATATCAAGTTGGAAATTGCAGGAGAATGCATTGTAAATATAGGCTTTACGTTCAGATGGAAAATTACATAAAAGGCATGAAAACAATCAGTGTGAATGGAAAAATGGGGTTTTACTGTATTACACAAAGGTTCTGCAAAAATAAGAATTTTTTAACACGTGAAAATCACTAGATTTAACACAAAAATTGGTAAACCCACCCTTCCACAACTTCAGAGAATTTCATTTGTCACACCTGTGTCTGTATTGCGTAATAACTTATTTGTCACAACAACCTACCTGCTTTTGTTCCTCCTCTGCTGAGCGCTGTGCAGCTAGTTTTGCTTCTTCAGCTGCTTGTACACGCATCTGATCAGCTAATGCTGCTTCTCGTTCAATATCAGCAAAATTTGCTTTCACTTTTTGAGCTCCCAAGCCACCCTTTTTGCCTGCCAACTTGAGAACAACAGTTTTATACAAGCAATGAGATTATTACTTCCACAGGTACTCATAAATACACAAAAAGTCAACTTACTCCAGGCCGTTTGTTTTGAGGCTTGCGAACACCAATGGTAGGTTTACGGTCAGGTGTAGGTTCCACATGACCACTAAGAGCAGCATCTACATTTGGCTCTCCTCGACCAGCAAGAACTGCAGATCCATTTGATTGTACCTTTTAAATATTAGAACGAAAGTAATACTTTTTATTATATGTATAAAAATTAATACTGTAACTTAAACCAAGCAAATAAGCAAGACTTAAGCCATTTAAAAAAAAATTAGCTAATAGTTCTAGATCCATCACTATTTATCAATAATTGAATAAGTGTACTTCAAAATGTAAATATTAAAATAAAACAATATGTATAAATGAAAACAGTATTTTATTTAATGACAAGAAATTTACAACCATGATTAATGACAAGTACAGCATGTTACAACAGTGCCTGGGGTTTGTCAGACAGCAGTAACTTACTACATTGAAATTAAATAGTTTATTGATTAGATGAATCTTTAACATTCAACATGCAACCCTACAGATTTTTTTAAGAGCACTTGTCTACCTGTTTGTAAAGACCAACCTGTATGCAAAGAAGTTTAACATCCTTAGCAACGTAAATAAAAAAACACTGATTCATTGCAAGTCAATGTTCATTCAGAAAAACAAGAACAAAAAAACTTGGTGATATTCAAAACAAATAAAATTTAAACAATCCAGAATAAAAGTAACTCATTTTAGTTTTTGTAATAATTATTAATTGACATGTTTAGTGGAATTTAAAAAAATGCATTAGGTAAATTAACCTAATTTTCCTGGCATTCCACCAAATGAAATATTTATTGACTATCTAAAAATGTCACCACTGGAAGTCGACAGGCCAACTTCCTCACCGAACGGCATTGAGAATTATTTGCATCCATCTTCTCTTACACCAATTTACAAATATTTTTTAAATAGATACGTCACTAGCAACACTCTACACTATCATAGTAGCATGTCACCGCAATAGAATTAATTTGTTTACTATCCCAAATTTTCCATCAGCCGTGAGATTTTATGGTGACAAAGTGCTAAACACACCATGTTATGCCTGCCTTGCCTTGTCGAAAATAAAAATGCCTGTTATGCCTGCACTGCCTTGTCGAAAATAAAAATCTTGGCTTGGCTCAGCTACCCCCAAAAAAAGTATCCCCAAATTTTGAAGAACGTTTTCCAAAATCTCAGTTTTGACTCAAGCCAGATGGAAAGAGGTTTCTTCAATTTGGAAAAAATCCTATGCACAGTTTAGGTGCTAGTAGTGTTCTCAGACACCAGTCAGATGGATGTTTTGAAGAAGAAAAAGAAAAGAAAAACCAACAACACTTTTTCAATATCTGGGGATCCCGAACAGACATTTCCGTGGAAATCTCTAAATCAATTTCCAAAGCATTACATAACTTTCCCTATACTATGAACGTTACTCTCTATATACGTATGTATATGCGAAAATAAAATTTAGTTAACCTCATTTTTTGGCATGCCACCACATGAAATTCTTCTCCTTTATTCATATTTACTGATGATGTGAAAATGTTGCCAATAAAATCAATGCTCCAACTTCTTCACCAAATGTCGTTTGTTTAACTATCTTTTTGTTTAGAAGAATTATTTGCATCAATTTTTCTCGAACCATAGTGACAGTGTTTAAATAGATAAAATGCAAGAAACAACCCACGAAATCATACTCCTGTGCTGCAGCAATACAATTCATTTACTTACTACTGCTGTAATGTAAATTTTTGCAAGAATCCTGAGATTTTAAGGTGACTGTAAAAATACTGAACATACTACGAAATGTGACAGCCTCATCCAAATTACTAGGTTTGTTAATAGCTATTACTGAAACTATTACAGTTAAATCCTGTGAAGAAATGCCATTAAAGCAGGGGAATAAGTAAGTATTTCGACAAGAGGAAGTAGCCCCTCATTTATACTGATTCACAGGTTTGTACAACACAAACTCTCTTTTTTTTCTTTTAAGGAAAATGAAATATTTCAACTTTACAACATTTAATGCGTTCACTTAGGTTAAAAATGCCAAACAGTAACTTAGTGCCATTGCCTGAAATCGTAGAAAAGTTGAGAAATCTTTGGGGGTTCTCTTTTTAATAATTTTCTTTTGTTAATTTACAAAAATAAATTACACCTTTACAGATAATTTATTTAAGGTTGTAAATTAAAAGTAATGCAACTTTTTGATTCTTACCTTGAAAGTCGATACACTTGTTATATCATCATTAAAGTCATCTCTTGACGGTGGTGGTATATTACTAAGTTCTTCAAAAAAATCTTCCTCTTTCTTTTCATTTTCTGTGGTGGACGTGGATTCTGAATGAGATTCCAGATGAAGCTAAAGGCCCAAATACAAGAGAATCTTATATTTATTCAATTTTCAATTGGAACAAAAACACAGCAAGAGAACAGAAGTCTTGCTATAATCATGCATTAGAAGCTGGAAAAAATTGTATGCAAATAAAGCACCCAACACAAACTTGAAGTAATAATCAGAAACTAAGAGAAATAACATGGAAAGTAATCATAATACTACTTGCCATTAAAGTTAGATCACACAATATATAAAGTCCATGCTATTCTTTCTGACACAGTTAAAAATTAAGATTGGGTACACATCACAGATAGGAATGAAGTATAATTCTGAACTAATTAAAATATAAATGAATCTGGTATCTAAATATCAATACTTTATGCAAAAGTGTGAAAATAAATTAATGCAGACAGAAGTGTAATGATAACTAAGAAAGAAATAGCATGTATTTGACAATATGATAATTCTGAACACATGCTTTAAAATTAAAAAGAATGATGTAATAATTTATGTATTTGAAAATGTACAAAAATTTCTTCACAAAATTAATTATTAAATAAATCAATACAAAAATTTCCTCATTAAATAGGAATAGTTTTGATTGCTCTAGAACACCACCCCTTTCAATGTTTTTCTTTTTAAGAAAACAACACAAGTTACAATACAAATATTTAGTTCCCCTAAACAATCAAAATTTTACACTCACACAAAAAAAGAAGTTGATTCTCATTTAACAGACATTTCAATTATTCAAGTCAAAAAAGGGATATTTTAGACACACAATAAAAGAGCAGTTATAGCCACAAAGCAGTGCTAACTCACAAACACACAAAAAAGCACACAGAACTGAAGTAGCTTCTGATAGCACAAATCAAGCTTAGCACACAAGTGACTTAACTGCTCACCAGTTTTGGTAAAGCTGTCTCAAGCCGAGAGCCCAAGTCCAGCTGTCACAAAAGAAATTAAGGTTTTCGTTTCAGAGAATTAACTAGGGGCGCCCAAAGAAAACCAGAGGCCTGGGGAATTGATTCATAGGGACTCCTCATTTCAAAAAACAATTCCCTCCCCCAATTCATAAACAGAATGTATTTCTCTATGCATCAGAAAGAACTTAAGAGTTAAATTGGAGATTAATATTTGTCACGTCTGACCGAGGTGCACTGTAAACCCAAGATTAACCTTTTTATAAAAATTTATTTTGAGTGAAGAAAAATTAACGACCCCAATAAATCAGGGCCTGGAGCAAGTTGCCCCTGCTGCCTCCCCTTTCTGGTCGTCCCCGGAATTAACTCTAGTCAAACATTTACAACACACAGTAAATTCAATAAAATCATGCTTTTTCCTATTCAAGAGGTACCAAAAGTATATACAATTTTGATAACATTTACCCAACAACCCACAGTGAACATCAAATTCTCTTGTTTCTTGACAGATGCATACACACTACAAGCAATATATACTTCCAACTATGGAAACAGAATAAAAAATACAAATGAACTGCACAAGAAGTAAAAATTTCAATACAAGCAATATACCTTGGTACCATGTAGTCGCATTGCTTGAATGGCCAACTGATGAATTTTTTCGCGATATAGTTGTGCTGCTCTCGAGTTATATTTCTGTTGTGCATCAGTTGTCGTACAGTTATGTTGCCGGAAAAACGTAGTCTGTTGAATATAAATGGAAATTTAATCACTTGATAGTGAGTTAAGGTGTTAGATAATATATCACTAAAATTATACTTACTGCATTTACATTGCCTCCTAATTGCATCTGTCGTAACTGTAACCATGTCCAATTTGTATCAAGCTGTGTTGATCGAACAAATGTTACATGCACCCCCAAACTTCTATGCACAGCTGAGCAGTCAATGCAGATAAATACTCCATATGTAACACTAGCCCATGTAGGGTTTTTAGCATTGCAGTCAAAGCATGACTGAAACACAAATGACAGGCATAAAACTTGACATATCTTCACACGCTTATACACTGGTTATTAAAAATCTTCATTTTCATAATCTTTTAAGTAAATAAACATGATGAAATGTGACCAAGTCATGAAAATACTCCAAGTTACTAAATCATATTTCAATTGAGCTAACTTTAACAGTCCACCCTTTCTATACAACTATACCTCTTAATAAGCATCATGTGAAAATACAATACCTTGTTGGTAGGAATCGATCGTAATCGCTTAAAAACCAGTTGGATGTCGTTCTTATTCGGACACTGTTCCGCCATTTTTGACTTGTTGTCACTTTGCTGATGACGAAAGAAACTCACATGTACAGTTGGACAGCATGTTTGCCAACACTATAATGCCATACAATACAAAAATATTAGGACGAAAAAAATAATTAATAGATTTCGTTTGAATTAACTATGTACAACACAAATTAATTTTTATTATTCACTTCAAAGATGGAAATAGACCCTCTCCTTCTGCTTCATAAGAATTCATTATAGATTATGACGGACTGTATCCACCTTATCGGTGTTATATGTTGGCTACTCATGTGAACTCTAATGTACTTCCATCAAATTATTAACCATAAAATGCCAAAAATAGTTCAGAAGCATACTTCTTTGAAATTAAACTTGCTGGTTTCATCAATACGTAGCTGAAAGTCAGGAGCGGATCCAGAAAGTATTTCGGGAATTCAGGCCCTTTCCTCTTTTTTTACTTTCCCGTATACGTACGTAAATAGGAGTACTATACGTAGTATAGGGATGCTGTGGAAAATCAATTTCGTGATTTCAATGAAAATATACGTTTTGAGGTCGGTCCCCTGATACCAAAATAGTAATTGTTTTTCTTTCTAAACGTCCGTCTGTCTGTCTCTTCATCTATCCTTCGGTCAGTCTGTCCCTCCGTCTGTGAACACTACTAGCGCCTAAACCGTACTTCGAATTTTTTTCCAAATTGAAGAAACCGCGTCCAAATGGCTCGAGTCAAATCTATGAGATTTTGAAAAAATCATTAAAATTCATTACATGAACCCCCCCCCCAAATTTTCTCAGAAACGGCCCCAAACATTTTTCTTTACCTTTCTTGTAAGTATGGAGTAAAATACACTTATAAGGGTGGCATAGGTCTTATTTTAACGGTTACCTCTAAATTGTCGATAATTTCAAAAGTGTGAATTTTTTTCAGAATCTTCCTACAACTACAAAATCAGAGATAGAGATTTTCCCTTCAAATAAAATTTGATGTCTATAATTTGTTCTTTCATTAAGGCCACGTACATGTTTTGAGAAGTTTAGTAGTTTTTGTGCAATTTGTGCAATTGTAAAACAATATAAAATCAAGATTTTCTCAAAAACGGCTCCAATTTTTTTTCTTTAAACTTTTGGTGGAGATTGTGCCAAGTGCACTCTATGAGATGACCATATTGCTCTGTTTTGTTAAAAAATTACAAAAAGGTAATTTTTTGTCTTGTCTCTGGCGTCATTAATATTTACATTAGCGGCAATTTGTTCACATTATTATATTTATGAGTACATATGCTTTAAATTTTGTCAAATAAATCTTCTCAAAAACTCAACCGTTCTTCTTCTTCTTCTTCTTCTTCTTCTTCTTCTTCTTCTTCTTCTTCTTCTTCTTCTCTTCTTCTTGCTTCTTGTTCTTCTTCTACTTTTCTTCTTCTTCTCTTCTTTCTTCTTCTTTCTTCTCTTTTCTTCTTCCTTCTTCTTCTTCTTCTTCTTCTTCCTTCTTCTTCTTCTTCTTAAATGGTTTCCTACCCCTTAGAGCTTTTGCCCGTTTTCGATTTCCGCTCTAATTCTTGGTCGCTCCGCATTTGCCCGTGCTGCTCTTAATCGCTTTTCTCCTCCATAAGCTTGGTATATATATATTTCTTCCAGGTTAAACCCAGGTCTACCGCACCTCTTCTCGACTTCTTTCAGGTATCAATTTATAATTTTGGGTTTGCCATCTCTCTATTTCGCATCTCTGGACATGTTCCATACCAATTGAAGACTTATTTTCTTAGTCTTCTGGTTATGCTTGTTTGAAACCGCTCTTTCCCACACCACTTCGTTCCTTATTTTATCCAGGTCTGTTATCTGCAAATGATCTTCTCATAAAAGTCGAAGCTCTATCGGACCGTATGCTTCTCTACGGCGTTTTTGTTAACGGCACATTTCCTGCTCCATATATATAAAACTTTCCTACGATACTGTGGAATTGTGTCGCTTTGGTCTTGCTTAAACACTATTCCATATAAGGCCATGCCGGAGCTTTTAATTGCATTCCTCACCATTGCGAGTCACGTAAGTTATTTTCATCAATTTTTCCGTCATCAGTATACAAGTCCAAGATATTTAAATTTCGACGTTAGCTATCTCGTTATCAGCGACATTTGATATTAGAGGCATTCCTGCTTTGCATAAATTCATTCTGTCTTTTAAGGTTGATTTTAAAGTTCCTTTTTCGGTATTCTCTTTTAAATTTCGAAGCAGTATACTCCTTATTTCCGGATCTGATGCCATAATTAACTGATCTGCACAAAACAAAGCATCGTAAACACTGTCATTTATGGGGACTCCCATTTTAGAATCATTTCTTGTAACGCAGGTTCCAAAGCTTGTTCCACCACACCCACCCAACAACACACACACGCAAACGCACACGCAACACGCACACGCAGCCCGCACGACGCACCCGCACCACGCACACGCACACACCAGCACACACACACTCAATGTAATTATCTCAAAATATACAACAAAATACTTTAAATACATGTTCTATGAAGCAGAAACAGTAATTCAATATAGTCCTTCAGTATCAGCTTGCAATATACATTCACTTTCAAGGCACTGAAAATGGAGCTATAAATAAAACTTCAGGATATCTCTATACAAAACATTTGAATAGAAATGTATACTATACTACAAACGATTTTCAAGATGAAATTTTGTGAAACAGCCAACTCATTTCAGACAAAAATATTTACATCAATTTCTTCTTACTTTTTGGACTTGAGATTGTAATGGAACTGAACTCGCGAGGTGTTCTCTTTCTCTACAGTAGTAACATTACATGAAACTTTTCTGTTCATGATACCTGCATCTGATGCACAATAGGAGTGCCAGTGCACTCTGTTTGCATCTGATCCCGACACAGTACTTTGGATGGGGTAGTTTTCACAAAATTGGTCAGGTATCTTTTCTGGTGATTTTTCGCAGTTTTTAGGCTGTTTTTCTACCTATTTCGTCCCTCATTTCCAAACCTTCTGCATCATATCCATTTTTCAATTCTTTCTTCAATAAACTTTTTTGGAAGCCTTCAGATTTGCATTCATTTTCTTTTCTATTTATATTGTTTTTTTCAAGAATTATCTTGTGTGATTCCTTTTTCAATTTCTAATCAGATTCTCACCAGCACAAGTTGTTATCTCTCTCTTTAATGACTCATTTGTAGTCCTACTCTGCGACAACCTTATTAGGAGATCTAACTTTGTCACAAGTAAGTCACTGCTTCCAATGGGCCTCTTCAATAATTTCTTGAGTATTTCTTGAGATACGGATTTCCTCTCCTGCCTGATTTTCTTTGCTGCCGGAATCAAGTGTTGAAAGTCTCAATCCGTCTGCATTGGATAGTTCCATCTCGCCCAGTAGGCTTCTTCCACAGATGCGTGGCCTCGGATCGGAACTACTTCTCTGGAACATGGTACCATCACGTAACACTTTTCAGAGGATTTCCATTATTCACTGCTTCATTATGAGTGCAGCTCTAGATTGTACTGTCTGGCAAATGGCTTTTTAAGGATCTGAAATAGGGTATTTGTGACACGTTTTTCTTGGCTAGATCAAGTTATGAGAGCGAATTCTTCTGAGATTTTCTTATGCTTAACTGTGAGTCGGCTACTGAACGTGTTGCAGATTTCTGTCTTGCATTCTCTGAGTGGAATGTTAACTGTTTTGTAGGCGTGACAATGGTTTTCAACTCTGTTTGTGGTGTCCTGAGTATTTCCTTTCTTTTTAACTGGAAATCCAAGCAGTGTTTGATGTAAAGTAAAACCTTTGCTGACCTTGAGAAGAAACTTTGACTTGAATCAGATGGTCCTCTTGTCTAGGTTTGGACATTCGTTTTCACTTTTCCACATTGTACTACTTATTCGTATTTTCACCAAAGTTCCTGCCCTCTGAAAAGGTTATTGATGAACAATTATCGTCTAGTTGAGGATGCAATAATACTTGACCATCGCTTGACCAGCTTAAAATCTGTTTAATCCTGTGTAAGTGGATGTTGGTAATCAAAGCAATTGCGCTCTGATTGCTGAGTATCATACAAAATGACATTACTTTTTGTGGCCCACAGCAAACACCAATTCTGTATGGCAGAGCAAAACAGGGAACCTACCTTCTCGTAGCTTAAACAGGAGGGGCAGAAACGCACAGCACCAGTGTATTCACGAAGGGATGGGTAATACAACCAACTGGCCTGCTGCAATCGTATCTAGAAAAAATATATTAGCCACTGATATGTTTTCTCTGATTAGGTATTTCTATTACACCTGATGGTGTAACCAAGAGTTCACCATCCGGAGAGAATGAAAGTCGCCTAAAAGGATTTTAGTGTATCATCATGAAATAACGTATATTTTTCCACTCAATCTCTGATCCTGAGGGACCGGTTCAAAGGTGCTTTTGCTGACTTTTGGCTTTTTTACCTTGTTGGTAAAGATAATTATGGATTCTACTGTTTCTGTCAACTACTAGTGTTGCAGCATATCTATTCTTAGGATCCCATGCCACACCTTGAACAATCCACATGTCAGTAAGCAAGCCCAAATTCGACCTTTTTGAACATCGCAAATTATGGCAGTATTGTCTATTAGAACGCAGATATTACAATGCACTGAATCTAGAGACCAACTAAATCTACAAACAATCTTCCAATGACCTCCTCAAATTTTCATCCGAAACCGCATGTTCTTTTGCTCACTTCAACGCATCAGTTGTTAGTGAGCATCTGCGAGATATCATGGTTCTGTCTTCGGTTTCAAACAATTAAACAGACATGTCCATCCCAGATGCCAGCAAATGACAGAGGTGCAAAATCGAACAGTATTCACTGGCCTTTGGTGCTTTGAAGATCAGCTGCAAACTTCTACAGAAGCCAGACCACATTCCTTAACGGTTACATCCCAGATCAGACATGTGAATCTGTTCCTCCAGTAGCAAGCCTATAAGGGGATATTCACGTGCCAGTTTTTGACGGCTGAACATCAATCTGAGAACCGATCCCTATTGTGCCACGAGATTTCCGAATTGTAACAACTTCATTTTTCGATTACCAGATAATCTGTTTAATTGCAATTCGAAAAACCAACCTACGTCGCGTTCACAGTTTGCTCGGTTTCATTACCCGGTTCCCGGTTATTACGGTTTCTTACAATATATTCAGTCCAGGGGCCAACATATCTTCGGGTTTGCCCTCCATATGGCATGAAGGAATCCACGATTGAACGTCCTGTGGTTCCAAACGCCTTTCCTTCTACCCTTGGTGAGCTCAAAATGCACTGCTCTTTTAACTTCATACACAATAGCTTTTGGTGGTCACTATGTTAAATTTCTGCACTAACTTCCATGATACAATACGGGTCAGCAAGCTTTTAGCAGACGAAAGTTAGGTCAACGAACGAGCTGCGACCATATCCTTAGAAAGGTCGGACTGGCTCCGTGTGTGCAGAGGCAGACACCCAAATGGTCAAGGCTGTCCAGCGCAGCGCACCCCGCGTCGGTTCGTTACTGCTGCTGCCCACCCCGTGGCCCCATGCACTCTGCAAGTCTCCCAGCCATAAGTA